CTTTCGTCAGAACGTTTATTTCATCAAAGACAAACCATTCGTCAGAACGTTTATTTTATTTCATCAAAGACAAACCATTCGTCAGAACGTTTATTTTATTTCATCAAAGACAAACCTTTCGTCAGAACGTTTATTTATTTCATCAAAGACAAACCATTCGTCAGAACGTTTATTTATTTCATCAAAGACAAACCTTTAGTTGTATAATTAATTTTTTATTCATGTTGTGATCTAATTTGAATATTTTATATTATTAAGAGTGTTCATTGTAACATGTGAAAATGGATAGCATGTAACATGTTGTATGTATATGAATCTCTAACATTGAAGTGCTGTAGTTGATAATCTTATGTATAACACAAAATACGGTTTTTTCAGATAATAAAAGTGTAATGTTTTTAGACACAGCAACAGGACACATTTCTCATCAGTGCTGGAGGCAGTAAAATTCTGGTGTGGAATTTTTACTCCAAGAGAAACGAAGGAACTCGTGCAAAGACGTGTAAAGTTAACACCCATAGAGACGTAGTAACTTGTGTAGCAGTGTCACGTGATGGTAACCTCGCCGTCTCGGGTAGGTTTGACGTTCGTACGTTAGGGAATTGTCTACTATGACAACTAACAGAAATCCATCCACGTGCCAAGACAACCTCGAAATATTTAACATTAAAACTACAGCTACCATAGTAACCTGTTGTTATCCTGTACTTTTCTCTCTGTAAAGTTAGGGTAAGCTGGGATTAAGACCTCGTTTCCATAGAAGCCCAAACTAAACATTTAACATTAAAACTACAGCTACCATAGTAACCTGTTGTTATCCTGTACTTTTCTCTCTGTAAAGTTAGGGTAAGCTGGGATTAAGACCTCGTTTCCATAGAAGCCCAAACTAAACATTTAACATTAAAGCCACAACTACCATAGCAACATTTTACAGTCCTGAAAAACATGAATATGCTTAAAATACAGTTTGAGCCCTACTTTTACAAAACAAACTAAGGAAATAAATTTATCAATTAGTTATTATAAAAAAGCTAAGTTATAGTTATTAAATTTTCATGCCAAGAAAAAAAATGTTTTTACTTAAACTTTAATGCAATTATTGAGTCGTTGCTTAAAGAAAGTTCTTCTGAAATATAAACATGAATATTCTTGTAAAACTTAATATTTATAAAACTGATAACCACAGTTTTAACTTTTTTTAATACGGCAAGTAAAAATAGTCTTGTTCAAACAATTATTTTATCCGAAAGTTGAAATTACCAAATTGTTTTTCTTGCATCTTCAATTAGAAGGATTTCGTTATCGTTGATTTTGTATGTTTGTTTATATTTGTGTTGTTATGATTATAATAAAACAGCTAATCCATCTTGAAGCTTTTCTACAACTATCTAAACTGTTCTTGTATTTAGGTTCTAAGGACCACTTAGTAAAGGCGTGGCATCTTTCTTCTGGAGAGACACACACGACACTTGAAGGTCATTCTGGTCCAATTACCTGCGTGGCCTTTGCTCCCAACGGTTTATTTGTTGTATCGGGGTCAGAGGACATGACCCTCCGAGTCTGGGGTTTAACTCTTGGCCTAATAGTCTCTACGTTTAAGGTTTGTAAATACTGTTTGTTTTCTCTTCTGAGAACTTTCACTTGTAACACAAAACTATAACACGTGTTATTGTTAAGAAACTTCACAATTTAGATCCAGTAAACTTTTTAATAGCCTCTAACTATGAGTCAGATTACACAGCATATTTAACGCTGGATTTGATAGAATTCTAACTTTGAGTCAGATTACACAGCATATCTAACGTTGGACTTGACGGAATTCTATCTATGAGTCAGATTAAACAGCATATTTAACGTTGGACTTGATGGAATTCTATCTATGAGTCAGATAGACACAGCATATTTAACGTTGGACTTGATGGAATTCTATCTCTGAGTCAGATTAAACAGCATATTTAACGTTGTACTTGATGGAATTCTATCTATGAGTCAGATAATATAATATTTTTAGCGTTGAGCTTGATGGAATTCTAACTTTGAGTCAGATTATACAATATTTTCTTATCTTTAAGCTTTATCTGATTTGAATTATGATTCTGAGTCGAGTTTCGTAGTATAATTCTTAACTTTAAGCTTGAATCTGCTCTAACATTGAATCAGGTTACAATGTATGTTTAACATTCAATTTAAATGTAATTCTTTGAACCATAATAGTGTTTTATTCATGTAGAAAAGTTTCTTATAAGGTGGTGGTATTTCTAAAGTTAAAATTGAGTATATTTTTTTGGAATTTGTAATTATTAGTTAACAACTCTTCAGTTACTCACTCAATACTTCAGGTAGCCATGTACTCTTACCATTTCTTCTGGTAGTTAGTTTTGTACTGTTACCGATACTTCAGGTAGTTATGTTTGTACTGTTAACGATACTTCAGGTTGTTATGTTTGTACTGTTAACGATACATCAGGTAGTTAGTTTTGTACTGTTAACGATACTTCAGATAGTTAGTTTTGTACTGTTAACGATACTTCAGATAGTTAGTTTTGTACTGTTAACGATACATCAGGTAGTTAGTTTTGTACTGTTAACGATACTTCAGATAGTTAGTTTTGTACTGTTAACGATACTTCAGGTAGTCATGTTTTGTACTGTTAACGATACTTCAGGTTGTTAGTTTTGTACTGTTAACGATACTTCAGGTAGTTAGTTTTGTACTGTTAACGATACATCAGGTAGTTATGTTTTGTACTGTTAACGATACTTCAGGTAGTCATGTTTTGTACTGTTAACGATACTTCAGGTAGTTAGTTTTGTACTGTTAATAATTGTAATAATAATAGGTAATAATTCTCGTGACTTCTCATTTCCAGAATTTTGTTTCACCTGAGGATAAAATGTTAAGTTGTTAAAACGTTTTAGTAACGACGTCTAAGTAATGATGCCTAAACAATGATGACTAAGTAATGATGCTTAAAAATTAATACTAAGTAATGATGCCTCAACAATGATGCCTAAGTAATTATGCTTAAACAATGATGATTAAGTAATGATGCCTAAAAAATGATCCCTAAGTAATGATGCCTAAAAATTGATGCTAAGTAATGATGCCTAAAATTTGAAGCTAAGTAATGATGCCTCAACAATAATCCCTAAGTAATGATACCTAAACAATGATGGCTAAGTAATGATGCCTAAAAATTGATGCTAAGTAATGATGCCTAAAAATTGAAGCTAAGTAATGATGCCTAAAAAATGATCCCTAAGTAATGAATTCTAAACAATGATGACTAAGTAATGATGCCTAAAAATTGATGCTAAGTAATGATGCCTAAACTATGTTGAGTAGGTAATGATGCCTAAAAATTGAAGCTAAGTAATGATGCCTAAAAAATGATCCCTAAGTAATGAATTCTAAACAATGATGACTAAGTAATGATGCCTAAAAATTGATGCTAAGTAATGATGCCTAAACTATGTTGAGTAGGTAATGATGCCGAAAAATTAATGCTAAGTAATTATGCCTAAACAATGATGAATAAGTAATGATGCCTAAAAAATGATCCCTAAGTAATGAATTCTAAACAATGATGACTAAGTAATGATGCCTAAACTATGATGAGTAAGTAATGATGCCTAAACTATGATGAGTAAGTAATGATG